TTACAGATTTGAACAAATGCACACAAAAACATCAAACTTAGCACAGAAACAGTACTATATAACATTTTAGACACATTCTAGACAGTTTATCAGCTAAAAAAAGTTAATTTGGGGGTAAGTTACTGTTTAATGGAAACGTCAATTTCGACAAAACTTAGTTTTTCGACAAAAAAGCTTTTGCTCTAGGATGAGGTGGTTTTTCGGCCGTATCAAAATTGGCGTGTTTAACAAAACTGAAATGGAAACACTTTTTTCGCATCACGGGAGTCACATGATCAAGAACCGGCTGTTTCTACTGGCGAAAAAGAAGTCAACAGGAAATAGAAGTAGTTGAAAATCATCGAAATTGTAAAAGAAAGTAGTAAACTCACCGACTACAATTTCCCAAAAACACCGCATACGTAGCTGCTCCCAAGTATAAGGGGCTAGTCGCTGGATTTTATTCACGYGTGATTTAAATAGTATTTCTTACTTAATGGAAACACTGCAATTGCGAAACTGTTTTTTGACGTTAACAGAATATCGACAAAGTTTTGCGCACATTTGCAATGGAAACACAGCTTGTGATGAATTTTCTAATTCTGCTGCAAAACAAAAAGAAAAAACTATTTGTCTTTGTTTTCCTTTTTTCTTCGCTGTTGCCGCAATGAATCCTGGGATATTGTTGGCTGCGTAGGATAATTCAGATGCAGTCTACATTTTCGGGGTTTTGTGGGTAGCATTTTCTGCCGCACGACCACAAATTGGGACCGGCTACAGCATGGGGCAGTGAAGCAGCCTACAAATGCACCCTACATGRSCTGCAACCCCTTGACACAGATTACTCTCAATCTTCCATAACATTGTTATTTAGCAAATGGCAGCAGTAGCTATTTCTGATGTAAAGCTTTATAAAAAATGCATGAATTACTATGAAATTTTAAGCACTGGAGTTGCTAAAGACAACAGTAACTCACTGGTCTTAGCTCTGCTCAGACCAAAAATTTGTTTTTAACTCAAACAAACAGCTTTAGGCTTTGATAGTTTTATTTTTTTTAAAATCACATTTGTTGTTGGCTCAGACAGTTTTGAAGTTCTTTTCATTTTATTTCACCAAGTAATTTATTTTGTTTGCACTTCTTTATGTTTGTTGTTTAATTTTTAGATCGCTCAATGTCTTGTTCAGAAAAAAATATTAGTCAAGATATTCAYACAAAATCATTTATTTACAAATTCATGTTTATACAATTATAACAAATGTATTACAGTACACAATTTACACGTTAAAAATGAAATGAAAGCAAAGCATAAAGCATTACCATGCAATAATTATGTATTGTTAAGAATCTTTTTGCTTCAGGCTGCTTTTTGAGACAGTGAAAAATACACTACTCCATAGTMAAGAAAGTGACTTAAGAAGATTTAAAGAAATAAATATTGCATTGTCCTTAAAAGTCATTGCTGCAATATGGTTTGTTAGATGAAATGAGGTTTTCCTTTAAGTATGAMGTTCTTTTGTTTTATTTCAAGAATACAACCATTTACTTTTCAAGTCATTTAAAAATGTTTGGGTTCTTTATTTGCCATTGACATCCCATAAAGGCCAAGTCTTTGGGGTTTACAACTTCCTCTCTTAGGACAAAGCATTATGATGCGTTACACTCAAAGTTACTGATTGTAAAGCCAAAAACAATATATGCTTTTTATTCCTTCCACCAATACAGTACTAAGTGATTCAGTCTATCAGTAGATACTTTTCTTTCCTCTCAAGCCTTTAGTTTAACATTTCCATTATCTTACTTCTGAGGCGGCAGGGTCACCTCAGCTGACCCCACACCCTMATGTTTTATTATAGGGCGTATTTTCTACTCCTGGGTTCACCTATATCTTTCCTGCTGGCTGAATTTTGCATCTGCAGCTGGGAGGYTTTTGATTTTATCTGAAGATCTCCCTTCCCACACTCTAAAAATGAAATGTTGGATTTACTTAACCATGTTATGTTACCTGGTTCCACTTAACTGAGTTGAGTAAATTCAAAGCAACATACTCATGTTC